TATTAAAATAGAGCCTCGTGGTCACTTTCGTTGTGGGTTTTTGGTCTGTTGTGGCTTTTTGTTTCGTTGTGGCAGTTGTATTTGTTGCTGTGATTACATTAAAACAGAGTTCACTTCCGTTGTGACTTTTTTTGGTGTGTTGTGGCTTTTTGTTATGTTGTGGCGTTTGTATTTGTTTCACCGTTTGCGTTCGTTGTGAGCCCTCCCGGCTTCCGTATCTTTCAGCAGACAAAACATCTAAACATATCTTATGTTAAGATATCCTAGTCTTTGCTACTCTACAGCAAACGACTGCCTGTTCATGGAGACTTGGGCTCAACAGTTAATTTGAAGAGAACAAACATGAATTTGCAGGATGTGGTTGTTACATTCATGTAGTTTTAAAAAGCATGACAATATCAAGCAATCCAAAGTAGGCCTACTGCAGATATCATGAGCCTATGCAGGTTGTTTTCACCGTTGCCAATAGCTCCGGGTTGACATTTAACTTGTAGGCAATTTTATATTTGCTTTTTTTTTTTTACATCATTTGAAGAAGTGGGTGGATGACATACCCCCGCGTACCACGCCCACCAGATGCTCGTCCCTCTTTTCTTTAAATACAAAGTGATGTCTGAATTTCCAAGACACAAATGTGTTTTTGTCCCTGCACTGTTGACTCTGTTCTACTGGCTCCTCGACCTCATCCATTATGTGAATGACACCACCAATGTTAACAAGATGTTTACACAGCTCTTATTTTTCTGGCAATGAGTGGAATTATCAAAATAAAATGTAAAAAAAAAAAAAGTATATAGCCCAAAATGTGAAAACAGGAAAATACCGCCATATACTATACCATGTTTTAATATTGCTTAAATAAAACACATCTATAAGTCTGTCTCATTCTCCTGAACTCAAAGCATTTACTCTTACTGGTATATGTAGTAGCAGTAGTAGATGCAGTTCTAGCGCCCCCTGCTGGTGTTTTACATGCACTAATTTTAGCCAGGTTTGACCTCTGTGCAGTGTGGGGCTTACTGTGTTTGTTGCTGTTTGCATGTTCTCCGTGTGTCCTTCAGTTTCTCCAATCTCTTATCAACCCAAAACATGCACAACGGCGAAAGTAACCCTGACCAAGACCAGTTTAAGATCTGGAGATGGGTCCCCTGCTCAGAGACAAAGAAGAATGAGTCAAATACAGAGGATGAATTTCACTATGGATCAATTCATTGTTCCTTAAAATGACTGGGAATACAAAGGATAAGGTGTTCAAAGTCTGCGTTTGACTAATTTGTAATATAAAAACATGAATTGCTGTGGGACTACTGTATATATTAAATTCAGGTATAATTTGGTCATTTTCAATATGAATTTACATATCAAATGAAACATAATATCTAGAGAACACATGTTTCATTATGTGAGTCTTTAAAGTTGTGCATAATGAGCCTCATAAGAACTGGAATACATTTTCAGAATCCCATATGTCAATATTGGCAAAGGGAAAAAAGTGATGTCATTTGTCACTACGCTACTGCCATCTAGTGGAGATAACATGTATGTGCAAATAATGGAAGCGCAAGCATGTGTCACAGACATGGGCGTTTTCCAGCTCCCTTTGGCCCTTTGGTTGACTCTGACCAGTCCCTTTAAGCTTTTTTGGAATCACAAAATGAACTTGTTTCGTAATTTTACCTCATGCATGGACTAAAGCTGCATTGCTTTTATTTAAAAGGTGTTTTTAAACATTTTTTTTGTAAGGCAACCGTACTTTTTCATTGCTTAGTCATAACATAAATTCATACATGTCTTACCAGCTTTTCAAAACAATGATATTTACTGCTTTTTATAAAGAAAACTATTAATAATACGCAGAATTGAGTTATTTTGGATCGGCTCTCCACTATATTTTCTGTTCCTCACATGGCCCCATGGAAAAAATAATTGCCCACCCCTGCTGTAACATTTCTGATAGTAAAGAAATGAATTAACTAGAAGATTGTAACACAGCTTATGTGTTTACAGAAAAGAATTACCACAAAATAGAAAGTTCTGGCTCACAAAAGCCAGTGAAAATTACGAAGAAATAGGGATAAGAAATGTCCAAAAATTTAACCATTCCTGCCCCCTTCTAAGTTTATCACTACAGTTGTATAGGAGAGTGGGAAGGCATCTGACATAAGGGTACACAGTAAGATGGAAGGGCATCTGACACAGATTTAGAACAGCAAAATGGGAAGAGATAACACAGGTATACATGAGAAAGGGAGGGCATCTGACACAGAGTGATAAGCCTTAAGACAAATGGAAGCTGAAGCATGGTGAGCTGTAAAGTGCAGTGAAACAGCAGCGGTCTTAACAGTGGAGCCTCATTCCCACATTCACACGGTGGTGCTAAACACACAGGGGCCACAGGGGGCACGGGGGTCACTGTCTTGTCCAAGGACAGCTCTGGGAATTGAACTACCAACCCCCAAAACGATTGAAACAAAAGCCTAGTCACACAGTAAACATGCTACTTCAAAATGAAACGAGACTGGGACTAAACTTAGAACTAAACCGGGACTAGATCATGACTAAATGAGGACTAAAACAGAGTCAGACCAAATCTACATCAGGACTAAACCACTACCTCAAAATTAGGACTAAACTTGGAACAGAAATGGACTAGACCATGATGAAGAAGAGGACCAAAACCAAATTTACATCAGGACTAAACAGGACCAAACCAGAATCAAACCAAATCTACATCAGAACTAAACCAGCACCTTAAATTTAGTGGACTAGAACTAAACTTGGAACTGGACCAGACCTTGTCTAAGAACAGGATGAAAACCAGCCTAAATCAGGACTAAACCAGAACAGAGACTAAACCAAGTCTACATCAGGACTAAACCACCACCTCAAAATGACCATGACTAAGAACAGGACTAAAAACGGTCTGCAATAGGACTAAACCATGACTAAGTCAAGTCTACATGAAGACTAAACCCGTACCTTAAAATTAGAACTTGGAACAGGACTAGACCGTGATAAAGAACAGGACTAAACCCAGTCTACATCCAGGCAAAACCAAAACGAGGTGAAGGCAGCCTAAAACTACTGGTTCTCCATGTGGCTTCCAAATCCAAACATAATCTTGCAATACAAATAAAAATACAAAAAAAAAAAAACATTTTGGGAGTTGTTGTTTCTATTTGTATTATCTTCAAGTCCATTTTTACTTTATTCTGACTTGTAAGGCTAATATGCAAATTCATTTAAAAGTTAAGATAGTGCAAACTGTGGTTCTTTTTTTTTTATTTTTTTGTCTAGAGATCAAGTTTTGGTTGTTGTTTTCAGATTGTTCATGTCCTTCTCATATTGGGTATTAGTCAGTCAGTATGTATCCAGTTTTGCCATAGCAAACTGTAGAGATATGATCTTTCTACCCAACCACAACTCAAAAAATCAACAGCCTTCTCCATTTCAATCAAACATAAATGACATGCTGAGGGTTTTAGGTTTTATTGACCTGGGACAGTCCCAGTTTTTAGCCCTGTGTCCCCTGTCCCATAAGAAATGTCCCAGGTGTCCCTATTTTTGACCAGTTTGATCCCTGACAACAGTATAGAGAGGCATACATTTTCATTTCTTTAGTAAAATAATGAAAACCTTCTTTAAAATTACCAAAACATAAAGAAAATGTGACTATACTGACTCACGTTACTCATAAATGGGCTGAGTGCATAACTATTTCCCTTTATTACTTGTTTCACAATTTTATTATTACCAACCACCAAAGACCAGGGTTGTCCCAATTTTTGATTTTGAAAATGTAGTCACCCTACACATGCTGCTTCATTATCTGATATCTAGTACATTTCAAGCTAAAACAATCATGCATTCAGATGAACTACTGTCCTTTGAAGCAGTTTAGTGAATGAAAATGACTGATTGTAACTTCCATAGTAGTTTGGGGGTAACAGAGCCTCTACTGTATGTGAAGACAAAAGGCAGAGTTTCGGGGGCTTGCTCCTTCCAGTTTTGTCTGGTCAGAGCTGCCCTGCCCCCTGAGACCCATTCAAGTTTAGCTTATCTCCAACACGTAGCCTCATGCATACAGAGGACCCCCCTGCTCTGTCTCCACACCTCTGACCACTTAAATACATTAACATAAGCACAATGACCAATACTGAGGAAAACTACCAGGCTGTCCCTAAAAGTTACACTTACTTTTGAAATAAATACAACATATCTCAGTTGAAGTAGTTTTGAAGAACTGGTTTGGGTTTACTTTCTAGGTCTAGGTTAAGTACATTGGTATGAGCTATAGCAGTGTTTCACATGACACCACAATATTAAATAGATAAAAACTAAAATGAATTTTGTTTAAAGTTGTGCTACACAAAACTGTCTCTTGGGAGCTTTAAACCATGTTATGTTAGTATCTGCTCAAAATATACTTGAACTTGTGTTTTGTTTCATTCACACATTTGAGTAATCCTTTATTAGTCTGTCTACATATAAATGCTTTGTTCCACCTAGTGATGTCATGAAGTGGTAGTTTTCAAGCAAAGAGCAACCTTCTACCTTTTCAGTAGATTTGGTAGAGCTTTTCTAATCTCCACTTTTTAAATTATTATCCAGATGATTCTAGTGATGTGTATGGGGTTTAAAAACCAAGTGGAGCACTCGACGTCACATGACATCACAAGGTGGAATAGTGTTTTCTATTTGAGAGAAGAAATCAGCCTAAATATGCAGGATTTGTGTGTCAAACATGTGTGAATGAAACAAAACACAACTCCAGGTCTGTTTTTAGTGAAGAAACATTATAACATAGATAAGAAAATTAAGGAATATGGGCCATTTAATCAAGAATTGAAGTAATAACTTCTTAACCTATAGAGATAGAATAAAAGATTTACAGTTGGAGTACCTTACCATGCTAGTCCTTTAAGGGGAATTTTGTTTTTAAAAGAGTACCAAGTAGATAATGCAACGTACACACCTTAAGCAAGACAAAACAAACTCATTTGTATGTCGGCCAATAGTTTATTGACATCAAGCCCTCAGTAAACATCACTACTGACCACATACTGTTAAAGAATACAAAAAATAAATACCAAACTACAGTCCGCCCAGCTAAACCCCACAGCGTTTGGTACATCTGCGCAAAATAGACAGCCAGGTAGTTCAGAAAGGTGTATACAAAAAATAAAGCTCTTGTTTAACACAGGTTTCAAGTAACAAATTCATGTAAAAAGAACTAAACTGAAGAGTGCAAACCCATGGAACATTTGTAGTGTGACAAATGATCAGTGCAAGTGATGTGAAGGTAAAGAAGTTAATTAAAAGCAACTTGTTTCGGTGCATTTCGTGAAACTGGAAAATAATGTGTACATTCAAAAACACCATTGTGAACAGTGAACTCATATTTTGATTAGGAAAACCATTAACAAAATACATAACAGCAATTACAATCATAGCACAATGAAAACCAAGTATTACTTAGCATTGACTTAAGTGTACACTAAAAAAAACATGAAATTAAAATGACTTCAGTACAAAATTTAAATTTGTTGCTGTACTTTTGACCAGTTTAAATGTATTTACTTAATTTAACTTAACTTTTTTCCAATTATATTTCTATTAATTATTCAACCATTGGGAAGAATTGCCAACTAAAAAAAAAAAAAAATCCTTAAAACACCACAAATAGCACATCAACGCCAATGAAGTTCAGCATTCAAGTCATCTCAACCAATTTTGATATTTTTTGCAGTGTACCAAAGAAGGAGCTTGGAATTAAAAAGCAATTATTTTGAGCTGCCAGTTACCTGCCGGGCTACACTGGCGATCAAGATGTAGTTTTTCCAAATTTCTAACTTTTTAAAATCCAGTAATTAAAATTCTCCTTGGGTTGAGGTAGGTAGTTCATAGTTCTCTGGGCATGTATGTACACAGTCTTTTGATCAGTATGGAGTGAATCACGTTTTCTCATCCATGGATCAGTGAAACACCATGGTACAAAGCTCTCTTCCACATGTAGTAAGTAGATCGCGGGGTGTAAGGGAAGTATGAACGAAACTCCTTGAAAGATGGGAAAGACTTCTCCTCAAAACGTTGCTGCAGAAACAATTTCGCTTTGGCCTTGAAGTTGGCCATAGCGACCACATCCAGGCCGTACGTCTGCTCTTCGGCGGGCATCTGGGAGAGAATCGCGGGCTTTGGAAGTGCCATGGAAGAAGCCATGGGTGCCTTCTGGATGTAAGGAGGGCTTTCGAAATATGGTGCCATGTTTTGGTTGATTGGGACCATCTCCGATGGTGCTGTAACCAGGCTTGGAGCAACATTCACAATTTCTTCCGTGCTTGGGACGGGCATATCGGCTGGCAGCTTACTAGCTTTGCCAGCATTTTTCCAGAGCCAGTAGAAGCAAAGAGACATGTTGGGAAATTTCAGTTTGAATTTCGCAGGGGAACACTTGGATTTCAGGATGTAGCATTTGGCAGCGTTCCGGATTTGCTTCTTGCCGATGTACGCCATTCGTAAACTCTTGTTCTTCCTCCTGCAAACTCTTCGTCTAGGCCGGATGGGATTGGAGTTGAAGACTGAGATCATGGGGGAAAAGCGTTTCGGGCTTTGGCTCTTATCGCCATCCGAACCATCATCACTGCTTCCAGCGCTGCCTTTGTAACCACGGCTACACATCATGGCCTCTCTTCTCCAGTTGTAGTAGGTCGATCTTGAGATTCCTGGAAAGTTCCTCTTGAAAATGCGAAAGGGGAACGACGCATTCATCGCGATGCAGTTTTGCAGGCAGCGCTTAGCTTCTTGCATGTTCGCCACATTCTGCGCCCTTTCCGTGTCCGGTTTGCCCATGCTGAGCCCGAACATGCTCGCTACGCTGTCGTGATGCTCAATATCATCATCTTTCGGATCAGGAGAGGACCACGCTTCTTGCTCCGTGCTTTCTCCTGGACTTATCTCACCGGAGGAGGAAGACACGGAAAAATGGCCGCCGGATTTGAGCAGCTCTTGCTTCCAGTTGTAGTAAGAAGAACGTGAAATCTCTGGAAAAAACAGCTTGAATTGGTGCAGTGGGATGAGCTTGCCTTCGTTGTAACATGCTTGGAGGAAATATTTCGCCTCATATCGAGCTGTGGACTTCTTGCAATGCTCCTGGGTTTGTCTCTTCCATCTGTAGAAGGTTCTTTTCGTGATGTTATACTTATCTTTCATATTCGGGTAGGTCATTCGCGGTTCGTTGAGTAGCTCGTCACTTTTGGCCGGAGATGCACTAGGATCGCTGATGGGACTTCCGCACGCCATGCTGCTAGTTTGCACCAACGCTACAAAATGATCCGGTCTAAAAATGGACTCTGATTGCAGCTCGCCAGACCACATCACATGCAACGTTTGTATCTCCGAATCCTGTGGCCATGTTCTGGGTCGGATCATGCGGTGGAAGTAAGGCCTGATTTTGAGGTTGAACATGGGGTAGATGGAGAAGATGTTATATTGTAGCACGGAAGCTAACGCGTACACGTGCCACATGTTAGCGTAGGAACCGGGAAAACAGGAAGCTTTCACGTCAGCATCAAAAATAGCCTCCAGGACATTAGCGGGCAGGTTTATCATGTCCTCCGACTCCTCTACACACAGACTGAAGCGCACCGCCTGGAGCATCATTTTGGAGTCGATCATCCCACAGAGGTAGTACCGCTTCCACATGGCCATCTCCACAACCGTGCGAACCTGGACAGCAACAGCAAGGAATATAAGATTATGTGTGTAAGGTTAGGTGAATTAGTGTAATTATAAAAAAAATACACTGTTAAATCCTAAGTCCTACATTATGGCAGATTTTAGCCATGTTAAAGTGTTGTTACATCATCAAAAACATACCTGGAGTTCTGTTTAGTTTCATTCACACATATATGAGTAAAGATTTATTATTAGTCTGTCTAATCTCCAAAGCTCAAAATGTTATGTTCCACTTTGTGATGTCATGATATGGCAGTTTTCAAGTGAACAGCTCCTTATACCGTTAGTTCAATAGAGATTGGCAATTCTAGGGCTGAAATTATTGCTATGATTCCAGTGAAGATTAATGGAGTTTAAAAATGGTGTAGCACTTCCTGTCTTACCACATGACAACACAAGGTGGAACAGAGTGTTTTCTGTTTGAGAGAACTCAGCATAAATATGCAGGGTGTGTGTGTTAAACATGTGTGAAAACAACCGTAAACACAACTACAGGTATGTTTCTAAAAACATATGTTGGAATGAATCAGAAGTTAAAGTAGTCTCAAGATTTTACACTTCTGAAATGAGCACTGAATAAGTGTTTGTATGAGCTGTAGCCTGAATTTACATTTTCTCTGATGTGTAAACATCAAAACTGCCAATGGCTGTTCTCAGTTGATCACTGAAAACATGTGACCACATTGCAGTCACAGCACATTTGCATTACAGTGTAAAGGTGCATTATGTAACTGTTTAGGTGGGGGATGAGCCACCTGCTTGTCTCCATGGAGAGCTCACTGCTTTGCCTAGAATATTCAGCAGTATGGCATTAAACTGATCCAGCTCAGTGGTTTTCAAAGTAACACCTGTTACTGTATACATGCAAGCTGGACACATTTAATGCCATACTGTCAAACATTCTAGGCGTCTCCTTGGAGATAAGACTGTGGCAGACCCTCCACCATAAATGTTATGTAGTGCACCTTTAAACAGTAAATTACAATGTAAAAAAGCTGTGACTGTGATTGCATGCTTCAGTCATTAATTCTTCTGTAAAACGTGAAAACACCTGGTTCCACGTTGTAATGTCATGTGGAGCACTTCACAAGGAGTGCTCCACAGTGTTTTCAAATTCCATGCACCTTCACTTGAATTATTTGGATAATTACAACTTTACTTAACAAAATGTAAAAAAGGTAGCTGTTAACACTACATGATATCACAAGGTGGAACAGAGCATTTGGAGCTCTGGAGTTGTAGACAACCTTCTAATGCAGGATTACTCATACATGTGCAAATGAAACAAAACCAGGTAAGTTTTTGATGAGGTCACAACATTCTGATATGGCTTAAAGCTCTTAAGAATCAATAGTGTGTAATATAGGACCTTCCATAACCTAATTAACAATTTCGAAGTTCAATTATTTTTATTATAGACTAAAATTACTGAATATAAAGCAAAATAAAAGAGAAAATAACCACCAGCTCCTTACCTGTAGCTCCAGGCTAAGTCCTGTGCTCCCCACTAGCAGCATACTGACTGCATCAAACAGCATGTTGCCCTCTCCTCTGCAGCTCAAGGGCAGCAGACCTCTGGGCGCATCAGACGGGTACAGCCTGTGGGCCAGAGAATCTACCCCGGCCCACTCAGGTACATCCAGACAGGGGGAGGGCGGCAGGGGGAATGAACCCAGCACCGGAGACACATTCTGGGCTACTTTGGTGAGAGCGGCCAGGCCCGTGAGCTCCGTGGCCTCCTGGAGCTCCCCCAGCACAGACACAACCACCTCACTCCGCTCAAGCATGCTGGCAATGAGATGAGACTGGAACAGATAGAGGTGTATGGAGTTTATAATCACACAAGGCGGTTTACATAGTTTTTATGTATTCTGCTACATTTTTCATAAAATTTAAAAGGGACTATATTATGCTATTTTCTGATCTATGTTAAAATGTTGTTTCCTCATCACAAACAGACATGGAGTTGTGTTTTGTTTCATTCACACGTTTAAAATAGAAATCCTGCATATTTAGTTCTTCCCTTAAACAGAAACGTAGAAACAAAAGGAAGCTGTTATCTTTAAAACTACTGCTTCATGACATCACAGGGTGGAACAGAGCATTTTCATATTTGGTCAGACAAATAATAAAGGATTACTCAAACGTGTGAATGAAACAAAACTCAATTCCAGGTATCATTTTAAAGGAGGTAACAGCATTCGAACATGACTTAAAATCTCAAAAGAGTCAATTTTGCGTAATACAGGGCCTAGACAAGATAAACAAGAACAAGCAATGAAGAAAAGCTGTTAAAGAGCACTTTCAACTAGATTTAGGCTAGTAATGGAATGGAATGGAAGGCTATATTCACTTTTGTACTCACCAAACTCGAACTGGGACTTAAACTGGAAACTCCACATTGACTAGATCAGGACTAACCAGGGGCCAAGGCCAAACCAGGACAGACTAAAGTGAATAATAGACAGTAACTTTCATTCGGGGTTTTCATGTATTCACTTTAACTACGAGTCCTCCAGTGGAAAGGACTATGGACGGCTGTAAGTTTACAAATAGCAGCACAGCATTGAATTTTATTATATAGAGTGAGTTCGCTTTAGTGTATTTAATTAAATATAATAATATTAGGTATTTTGGATGCATATGTACATTCACTTTAACAATGAATCGTAGTAACTCAGAAAACCTGGTTGTGCTTACTTTAAAAAAAAAAGCACATTAAGTTTAATCAGGCCTAAGTTTAGTTCACTAGATATTAGGCAATTATATTAGACCATATCAACTAATTCATACACTTTGCAAAAGGTTTGTCAAAGTTATATCACTGACCTACTTAAAATGAGTCAAATATCAGGAGTTTAACAGTGTGCAAGTACCCGTATGTACAAATGTAAACAGCTTTGGAGAGAATTAAAGCTAGTGGGTGCAAATATATGATTATGATCTAATGCAGTTAATTATAAATTAGACAACATGACAAAGTTATATTAAAAAGGACTTCGTGACATGTTTGGGTAAGTTAAAAACACTTAGCCTACAATGTAATTCCTGCAGGATCCTTGGAAATTACGCAAACGAATTTAGCTTGCACAGATTGGAATAGCAGCACTGCCAAAACTACAACCTAGCTAAGTTAAGTTTAAGTTTTATCATGATTTTAGTAAAATTAGCTTCCAATCTAATCTAACTTTTTGTAGGCTATTTAAAACATGGAAAAAAACGTAGCTAAAAAGGACTATTTACACTTAAAAAAATAATAAAAAGAAACTAGGTCTGATGTTGCTTTAGTTGAATCTACTCAAATAAAGTGACGTGTTCTTAATTTAAGTCATTTTAGCTTTTACAGTGCGAGGACCTAACGTAACAATGAACCAGGTGTTTAAATGACTCCAGTCCATTAACTTTAACGCTACTCACCGGATTCTCCAAAAACAGCAGCGTGCGTCCGCGAAAAAAAAACAACTTTATATTCCCCAAAAAGGACAGAGCTTAAAACAAATCACACGTTATTATTATTATTATTATTTAGGTTGTTTTTTTGTTTAAGTCCAAAGAGGAGTTTAGTCCATGGTGTTCGTCGCTCCACAAGTGCTTTCTACCGCGACGCGCTGCGCCAGGTCGCTCGGTGCTCCGGTAATAAGCCGCGCCTCCTTCAGGAAATCATCGATCTGCTATTCGCTATTCTGTTTTTTGTTTTACGCATCGAAACACCATCCCTGCCCCCCTCTTTTTCTATCTCTATCTGCTCCCTCATCCCCCCTCCTCCACCTCGGGTCGCTCTGGCCAGGGTCAATTTCAATGTGAAATCAAGTGGGAACAAAAGCCACTGGTTCTGACACGTACGGGATAAAAGAACGACCGTGTAGCTCTGCAGGTACCGCTCAATGTGGTGTTAGTAACAACTTTATGTTTGTGTTTGTCAATGAAAGCTCCACTTCCACGATTTAAATTCAAGGTTACTGTCAAGGGCCTGGAGAGATGCGCAAACTGGCCACTATTAAAACAAGTTTGCGTCTCTATTTTGATAATGACGCGTTAGATTATGACTGCGAGGTGGGAGAAGAGTCCATACTTTTACTCCTACTTTGAGGTGCATTGTGTAACTTTTCTGTTGGAGGGTCTAGTGGAAATGTTATTGCTTTGTGTTGAAAGTTTCCCAGCATAGTATTAATTAAACCTTTCTATCTTCATGGAGACCAAATCAGACCAAGTTACAGTGGAGAGGCCTGTTCTTTTAAATGCTTTTGAGCTATAAAACCATCTGCAATTTAATAAATGCAAGGTAGAGCTGTTTGGTGTCATACTGTGGAACATTCCAGCAAAGGAAAAAGTTACATAGTGCACATTTATGTAATATACTTGACAGTGTAACAATACTTATCTTTAGTATAAGTTTTGGTTACTGTTCCCACTTGAATTTGTGGATTGCTGAGGCAGACAGAGATAGAGTGGCTCTCCTCCCTTCTCTCTCCCTTCCTCCCTCCTTCTCTTCCTCATTCTGTCCCCTTCTCTCTCTCCTCTCTTTGCTGTATCACTTTTTACACCTCTGGTACTTGCGTTCCTTTTGCAGGATTTGGGTGATCAAGGCCTTTTGTTGATCATGGCCCCAGCCCCCATTGTCTTCTACTGTACCGGGTCTATGCTCACACATCCTTACACTCACCACTCACCAGGGGCCCTCGGCATTTGGCCCCCCGCTCCTCCAACCAGACGCAATGGTGCCTCGAGTCAGTCAATCAGATACTTCCCCATCGTCAATGTCAACAAACTAAATACAAAGCCACTATGAGGTATTTAATGACATCTTAAAGGTCCTATATTACACAAAATGGACTCTTGTGAGCTTTAAGCCAAGCTTAATCAATATAATCATCAAAATCATACTTGGAGTTGTGTTTTGTTTCATTCACATGTTTTGAGTAATCCTTTATTATTATTATTAGTCTGTTTACATCTCTAAAGCTCAAAGTGATCTGTTCCAACTTGTGATGATGAAGTGCTAGTTTTCAAGTTAACAGCTACATTTATACTTTAGTTCAGTAGAAATGAGCAATTCCAGGGCTGAAATTATCCATGATAATATGATTCTAATGAAGGTGTATGAACTTTGAAAACACAGTGGAGCGTTTCCTGTATTAACACAAAATATCACAAGGCGGAGTGTTTTTTATATTTTTATATGAGAGAAGAATTCATCAGGGTATGCCGGGTTTTGTGTTAAACATTTGTGAATGAAACAAAATTGCAGTTTTTCTGAGGAAATATATTCCACCTGTTCCACCTGGTGATGTCATGTGGTGATACAGGAAGTGCTCCACTGTGTTCTTAAGGTTCATACACCTTCACTAGATTCATTAGGATAATTTAGAATTTATAACTCCTGCTGAACAAAAGGTAAAAGTAGACATCAAAGGTGGAGTAATAATAAAGAGTTATTCAAACATGTGTAAATGAAACAAACCCAACTCCAGGTCTGTTTTTGATGAAGTAATAATATTATAACTTAGTGTAAAGCTCACAGGAGTCGATATAATAATATATAAAATGTTTAATAGGTGGATAACATTTTTGCACCTGCAGGATTCCACAGAACAAAATATAAAGTTGAAGAATTTTACATTTTTGCTCTTTCTTGGTTTTGTTTCTTTTCAAATCTTTAAACTTTAATCACTGCTGGTTGTAAATGAATGCTTTGTCACATCTTTAAGTAGCATAAACATCCCTTTATTTTGTACTGCATTTTAAATACAATTCCACTGTTTGTTTACACTTCAGACTTCTCCAAGCAGTTAGAAGAGATAGAGATGGCACTCCCACTGCTTTTGTCTTTGATTGTGAATGCCCCGTCCTCAGATCTATACAAGGAGTCTTTCTTCCAGTCACTCCTCCTCTTCCCCCTCTCCTCGACCATCACACTAGCTTTAGGTGTGCAGATGAGTTTAGCTGCGCTGCACTGGCTCTATTTAAGATGCTAATGTGGTACTCCAGGCCCAGAGACGGCGGTCTATCGCATACGGACGTGTTTTCAAAGTGGGTGTGGTGTGTTTGGGATGTGTACTCTGTTTACACTGATACTACGCACTTAAGAGCTGTTAAATGTCATACTGTGGAACATTTCAGGCAGCGCAGTGACATATCCACAGAAACAAGCAGGTTCATTATTATATGCCACGAAATTGTTTCCGTGGAGATATCATTGCTTTGCATAAAAGGTTTCACGATATGGCATTAAACTCATCAATGTTGTTTATTCAATCACAAATGTTTTATTGCTCAAAAATACATGTGTTCCTACCGAGAGTTCACCTCTCCACTGATCACCTTTAAGATTTTACTAATCACTTTTAAACCTAAAAACAAGGCATTTTTTTGGTTTAAAATTTAAGAAATAGGAAATTCCATAACCGTTACCTAGCCATACACACAAAAATGTATTATTTGAGAAATAAAAATAGAATAAAACACCAGAATTTTGTTCAAATAATTGTTACGTATTCAGCATATATTGTGTTTATTATACCCATGTATGGATTTTGGACTTTTAAACTGAAATTGAACTCTACTTCTCTGTATTTCCTGTGTTTTTCTTAATCATATTTTTCTTCACAAAGTGCTTCTTGGTTGGTGGAAAACTATAATTTATATTTACAACATAGATTATCTCATGAAATTAAGTCAAAATGAGATCATCATCATAATACATTTAAAGATTTGTCTGTAAATTAAGCAAAATACTAGAAGTGTCACATGTACTGCAGTTATTATAGTTAATTTACACATCTGTATAGTGATGTCCTGTTGCATTTTTTATTATTTTACACATTAATAATTTGTGCTAGGATGCAAGTGGATGTTTTTGTCAAGAATACTTAGATGTAGGCAGTATCGACGCAGGATTCAGAGGGCCCTAAGCAAAATTCACCTTGGAGTTTCTCACCACTAAACTACAAATTATTTCCATTTTAACAACATAGCAATCAGCTAGTCACCAATCACTTTTATTAACAATATCAAATAGTTAGAAACACTAAAGGTGAAAAAAACAAACAAAAACAAAACATTGTGTAAGTCCTCCCGCAGAACTGAAAAATATTGCAACCTTTTTCATTATTTGCAATATATTTTGAGGGGCTCTTGGGGGCCCTCTGGTGGCCCTCGAAGCCCTAAACAGCCACTTAGTCCACCTTTGACTCTAAATGATAATGAACACTGTAGGAGCGAAGAACAGGAGTAACCACAAGAACACTATACCAGCATTGGACAGGGGTGTGTGGAAGTCCTCCCCCAGTTTTTTCCTGTTTCTGATTAAATCGAAACTTGTTTAACTGGTTTGAGTGTCCCAAAATTTTTCATTATTTGCAATACATTTTAAAATCTTCTGGGGGCCGTCCGCTGGCTCTAAAAGCCCTTAACAGCTACTTAGTCCACTTATTGACTTATTCGTCCCCACCCACTTTTAACTCTTAATCCTGATGAACTGCAGTTTCACAGTCTTTGTGGTGTCACTTCTGATTAATTAGTTTCAATGGAAAATTTTTAGAAAAGTTTTACAGCTAAAATCTGATGTAAAGTAGGTTGATTTGTGCAAAATGTTCAATGTCCATAGTCCAGTCCAGTTGACAGAATTGAATTTCTTTCCTTTGCTGTGGAACCTACCTAGATGACTCAGGGATTTCACAAACTTCAAAGTTCATGTAGTCCAAATAGAATTTATTTACTGTAAAGTAAAATAATTCAACCCCACTGATGATGGCGATGTCCATGGCAACTTCCATAATAACGTGGGTAGGGCCCAAGATGGAGGCCTTCTGTTTGAGTTGGATGATCTTGAGCCTGGATCTTGGTTTTGGGAGTAGCTAATAGTATCGTACACTGGCGTAGATCGTGGGCTCATAGTCAGACACAGGAGCTCTGTCTGAAGAGTTGGGGAGTATCACATCGGCATAGACCACCTCCTCTGAATCCAACACCTGAAAACATCACAATACATACAGTAACACTGCATTCACTCACATACATATCTACATTAGCACTTAAAAGGATCAATACTTGGTGAGGTTTTGACATATTAGGCCTAGATTATTTGACTGGAAAATAATTCTCAGTTATATTTTAAAGGCCCTTTATTACACAGAATTGAGCTTTAAGCCATGTTATAATGTTGTTGTTATGTTATGTTTCATTCATACATGTTTGAGTCACCCTTTATTATTAGTCTAGTTACATCTCCAAAGATCAAGATGCTCTGTTCCACCTTGTGATGTCATGAAGCAGTAGTTAGCAGCTGCTTTCTAACTTTTGCTCCATACAGAAAGGTAATTCCAGGGCTGAAATTATCCAGATGGTTCTTATGAAGGTATATAGAGTTTAAAAGCACAGTGGAACACTTCCTAACACATGACATCACAAGGTGGAACAAAGTGTTTTCTGTTTGGCAGAACAATATGTCTATCTTAACTGGTAAGAGCGTTTTTCCACTGATCCTCTCCACATAAAAAAAACATCACAGGTTGAGCGGTCAGATCCCCTAACCCACAGGTTGGTGGTGTGATTCCAGCTTCCACTGATGAAGGCTGCCGTTGTGTCCTTGGGCAAGACACTTAACCCACCTCGCCCTAGTGTCTGTGTATACTGGTGAATGGGTAAGTGGTTCTTTGTTGTAAAGCGCTTTGAGTGCCTTGACAGTGGAAAAGCGTTATATAAATACTATTTAAATCTGCAGAGTTAGTGTATTAAACTTGTGTGAATGAAACAAAACACAACTCCAGGTCTGTTTGTGATGAGGAAACAACATTTTAACAGATCAGAAAATAGCCCTTTTATACTCAGTCACATTATGGGGACCTTATGTTTTATGGTGACCAAAAATATCAGGTCCCCTTGAGGTAAATCCTTCAATATAACATCAACAACAGGTTAACATATATTTTAGGTTAAGTTTATAAGGTTTAGATTAATAAAGAAAGAAGAAGGACTGTGTACATTTTCTGATGGAGAGTCTGTAGTCTATGGTTTTACACTCACCTTTTTCGCATTTATTGCCAAAAATACTTGATTCAGTATAATCTGTATGATGATTACTCAGTTTTATGTTATTTTGTGTGACATTTCAAGTGTGCTTTTTTAGAGTAGTACTTTGTGTAGTAAAATACTTGTACTTACATAGATTGGTGTTGTTGTGGGAGACTCAATGGATGTCCGCGTATCTGCACAGAAACAATATAATACATTATAATACAGCTTTGTTAGATCATTAAATGTTGCGTATTGTTGCAAAATGGACTTTCAGCTTTAAATCATGTTATAATGTTGTTATCTGTTCAAAAATATACCTGGTGTTGTGTTTTGTTACAGTTACACGTATTTGAGTAATTATTTATTATTAGACTGTCTGCATCTCCAAAACTCAAAATGCTGTTCTACCTTGTGATGTCATGTAGTGGTAGTTTTCAAGTCATCAGTGGCCTCTAGTTGTGCAATAATGGGAAATTTCAGGGCTGAGATCATCCAAATGATTCTAATGAAGGTGTATGGAGTTTAAAAGCACAGTTGAGTACTTCCTGTTGGTAAACTGATCACAAGTGAGTGTTTTCTGTCTGAAAGAAGAACTCAGGCTAAATATGCAGTGTTTGTGTGTTAAACTCCAGGTATGTTTCAGATGAGGAAACAACATTATAACATAGATCAGA